ATACATTGTAATAAAACTGTTACAACTTCTTATTTTTTTTAAGCCCCGGTAGAACACGACCCCCACTTTCTTTTTTAATGTATGTAATACATCTTTTAATTCTACAGTATTCATTTATTTTTATAATTAATATTATCAGGTGAGTGATTTATTATTATAATACAGGATTTATAGTTGTGGTGAGAACGCCACAAAGTGATGAAAACGAGCTGCGCGCGCTCAGCTGGCCAGGCTAGGTAGGGAGCGTTCGTGCCAACCGGCACTTCACAGTGGATGACGTTCAGCACGGCACTTCTGCATTACCCATCCAGGCTTGACAAAGAGGCAGCGCCTCGAAACGCGTAGCCAGCTGGGAGATATCTCACCCGGTCATACATCACAGATCATCCACATCTTTACACTTTGCTGTGACCTCCCCCCCCGCATTATTGTCGATAAGTGCTGTGCTGAACGTCATCCGCTGTGAAGTGACGGTTGGCACGAACGCTCCCTACCTAGCCTGGCCAGCTGAGCGCGCGCCGCGCGTTTTCATCACTTTGTGGCGTTCTCACCACATCAGAGCTTTCCTTCCACCACATTTTTATTCGCATACTGTGTCACCTACGCACATTCCCTCCAAGACTACTACTCCCACCATTCCAGTTACCACTTTACATGGACGACAGATGCGCTTCCATTGATGTCCACACACCACTCGTCCTTCACGATCACCATTGCCTTCATCAGTCCTTATATCCGCCTTCATTACTCGCGCCACTTGTAGCGGCTTCTCCAGTAGCCGCGCACATTTCTCTTTTCTAAACCTTCCTTCATCTTCTCTGACGGATTTGCAGAAAGTCCTCCGAATCCAGAAAGATTATTATCTAACTTCCTCCTCCTCCTCCTCCTAACCCGACCCCCGGCACCGCTCGGCGCTGCTTGGCCAACACCCTCAGGGCCCTGCGGTGACCCGAACGTTACAAAGCGAGCCTCAGAGTTGACCAATCCCCGCCTTGTGCAAGCAGGAAGCCGCGCGCGTGTAACAATGTAACGGAATCATTTCAAATGGTTTTCAATCTCCAGAACTCGTAATCTGTGTTTTACACAATAAGAATTAACATGAAATGAGGAAGTTCAGCGGCTCCGCCTCCTGCAGGAAACTTTCTACACTCGGGTTGGCAAACAGTTTGATGAATGCCGGGGAAAGTTTATCGTTCACTTCCTCCTCCTGATTGTCCCCGTCTCTGCGCGCCGCGGGCAGTCGTTTTGTTGAAGTTGAACTCCGAGCCAATTCCTCAATACACACGAAAAATGCATTTGAGGGATGCCAAAGGGTGTGCGTTTCTGTGCATCCAGTCCTAAGATTTGCACAGCTCTGATGCATAGTGCAGCCCTGTCTGGCAGTGGAGGGAGGGGGGGGCTTATTTTTATTTCTTGGCTGCAGTTAAAAAAGAGCTCTGGGGCAAAAAATCCTTAACCCTTACAGTGGAGCTACCCCCATACTGCCCCGTACTTCCACATACTGCCCCGTACTTCCACATACTGCCTCATGCCTCCCCATGCTGCCTTATACCTCCCCATACTGCCTTATACCTCCCCATACTGCCTTATACCTCCCCATACTGCCTTATACCTCCCTATACTGCCCCATACCTTCCCATACCGCCCCATACTGCGCCATACTTCCCCATACTGCGCCATACTTCGCCATACTGCCCCATACCTCCCCATACTGCCTTATACCGCCCCATACCCCCCCATACTGCCCCCCACCCCCCCCTACT